TAGACCGCGCACTTTCATTAATTAGTTTTGATCCTGTCTCTTATACACATCTAGATGTGTATAAGAGACAGCACACACACACACACACACACGTACGCACGCATACGGAGATGTGAGTTTGCTCATGCAACAGAAGGAAAGACACAAGCCTGACAAAAGAACAAGAAGAAAAGGACTAACGGGTCCATATACACGCTGCATAATCGACTACAGTCTTCACCCAGATAGAGCATCCCGTCATTATCGCTGTAGCTAGACAGGAAGTTGGCCCCAATACAGCTATAATGACAGGACGTTCTAGTCGGGTGAAGACGGTAGGGATTCAGGGGCATGCATGCGTCCTACAGTAGTTTCATTAACCGTTGCCGCACAGAAAGCGCCTGGACTGTTCTCAGGGTCCTGAGAAATCTCTGCAACCACTACGGTGATGCCTGGGTTCATCTCTGCAGTAGGCAAGACAAACAAGGACAACAGAAGAGCAAGAAGAAAAAGAATCACCAGACCATATACATAATGCACAATAACTTGCCATGCAGGCAGGCAGAATCGTAATCACAATCACGATAAATTATAAGTGATAAATCTATAGTAATGAATTATTTGAGGCCAGTAACAGGCTGATGTATCTCAAAGCTACCACCCATAAGGGGCAAAAAAAGAAAAAGCCCGATCGACTACGGATTCTCAGGCATGCATTCCACTGAGGTTGCATGACTCTTGACGCTCACCTTCTCAGCGTTGAAAAAAAGGCCCTGCTGAACTGATACGCTGGTATAAGACCAACAGCATTAGATTGCCAGCATACCACATGAGGTACACCCTGAACGAGTCATATACAACACACATCCAAAACACCCACAATCAACGAACCATCATCAAACACAATGGCACGAAAATTACTTGGTTCAACGTTTGCCAAAACGTGATGGGACAAGTAGAGGAAAGGGAAGGGGAGGAGAGACAAAGAGAGGGAGGAGAGAAAAAGAGGCGATTGAGGTTTCAGTGGGGGAGGGTGTCTGAAGGGGATGAGAAAAAAGAGAGCATTGAGGGAGGGGTTCCAGGCCACCCACCAGCTGGCTGCTTATTTCCGAAAAGACTAACCATCCATGCCTATAGTCATAATTCTTTTGAGAGGTTTAGTTAGAAAAAGCAATACCAAATGGAGAATCATACACTAATTTCGTACCTCAATAGTAGAAGGACATGACGTTTCCCTTGTAATCCAGAGGGCAAACAATCGACAAAGCATTGAACAGGACCATGGTGATTGGCATGCATTTGCCGAATTGCCAAAGCCAACCTTGCCTGATTACAGTAGGATCAACTGACAGAAATGCAGTGGAAGAAGCAAAAGAGATCCATGAACCTGCTCAAAGAATGATCACTTCAACCAGCATCTCTCTCTCTCTCTCTCTCTCTCTCTCTCTCTCTCTCTCTCTCTCTCTCTCTCTCTCTCTCTC